TGATTCAGGAAATATCCCAAGCTGGTGACCTTTTCTACTTTCATAATGTTCCACAAAGCTTCACGTCACCACAGAATCCATCCATTCGTTTCTGAGAAGAAGAAAATTTTCACTTTCAAACAGCATCCCCAAAGGGAGAGCTTTAGGTTATATTTGTGACTTAAATTATTTGCACCATTTAAAATGGCATAGCATTGCTGGCCACCAAGTAGCACTGAAAAGGACTCGTGCACTGTTGAATATCAGCCATTGCGTGGTGTATTGATTTAATGTTAATTGTGTTCAATGGTAAGTAAATATTATAACATATCAAAAATAATATGAAATGTGTTAATAGTTACTTTAAAAGAGAATGTCAGTGCGTGGTTAACAGTTTTTACTTAGACCTTTTAAAAAAGTGACTCAGGAAGGTTGTAGAACTCAGAATCCAGCGCTTCTAACTGCAGTACTGACTTGGTAAGCAAGTACCCCTACAACAACACCACCTCACCCAGCAGTTAGTCAGGAAAAGCTGCAGTCCTTATCCTTCTATCTAAAATAAGCATTACTACTGTCAAACTGGCAGCCGCCGCGATGTAGCAGCTAGGTGCTTGCATTAGGATTTGAAGGTCGTGGCTTCGGTCTTTTATCCGGATGTACGCTACAGCTTTAAAGCTAAACCTGACGACAAGGAGCTGAGTCAAGAGGTTCAGACCTTGTGGGCGAATTTCATTAAACATGGTGACCCCCCATCATCTGACCTTACAGTTACATAAGAAAGTGGAGCCAGTAGGCATTACTACTGTCAAACTGGCAGCCGCCGTGAAGTAGCAGCTAGTTGCTCGCATGAGGATTTGAAGGTCGTGGGTTCGGGTCCTAACGGAGCCGGGCATTTTTAAAATGACCGTGGCTCCCAGGTTGACACAACTTTAAGTAGGTAGCAGGTACAGTCCTAGGAAGTAAAGGCGGTCGCTTTGATGCTGAACCCATCACTCGCCGAGAGATGATTGGTCTATAAAAGTATAGGTCTAACCCTATATGCCCAATACGCTTGAATGTATTGGAAAAGGTCCTTTTACACAGTGTATATATAGAAAAGGGAGGAAATACTATACGAGTATTACCAATTACGTCCTTCTTAGGACGTAGTTTTTTGTTATTTGAAGCCCCACTCTGGCTTTTGCCAGGGGCCGCAATATAGGCAGGTCATTATTATGGCCAAATGTCTGAACGCGGTTTCTGGGACCTCTCCACGGTGATCTTCATTCGCATGGTGGCACTTTGTGTCATCGGGTGTTTATCGCTTGTGTGATGTCCTGGTGGGGTAGAAAGTCAGTCAGTCAGTCAGTGGGACTAACAGACACACACAGTTTGTAATTAGCACTCCATTTCCAGGCAAGTTCCGGTCCGAGAGGCAAGCATCACTTCAACGGTCTAAAGTAGTTAGGATCCTTTGTATATTTTATCTAGGTCATGTCGGTGTCTTTGGAAATGAGGAGGCGGATAGACAGGCCGGTTCTGCACTACTTGGTGGTGAACTGACAAGCTAGATGTTGTGAGGGCCCTTTGGGAATGTGTGAAACAGTACAGAGCCACAGACAGATCAGGACGGTCTAAGGAGAATCGTGCTGCGAAGGGTTAACAGGGAATCTGGCCGACGCTCAACACTCAAGGGAAAGGCGAGACGGATTGTACAATGAGACAGTTACTGGTGCCATTGAAACTTGAACTTTTCGCTCGATGCTGAAGAAGTGGAAGGAGCGCTTTTTAGAGTGTCCTTACTGCTATGGACCTCGATTCTTAATTCAACATTCAACATTTTAATTCCGCTCTCTTAACACTGACAGAGTATTTCTATTCAATACATAAATTAAATTTATCTGCTCCTATACTGTTTTGTTTTGTAAATAAATTTTTTTTTGATGTTGTTGTTTATATACACTTTTGTCGAAAAGTTCGTTCGCGGATATCCTCAGACAGTATACGACAGCAAGCAATGATGTACCTACCAGGCGGGAAGCGCAGACGAGGCAGACCATGCAAATCTTGGACAGAGGAAATAACAGAGTCTCTGAATGCCCATTTACAAAGCGCACAAACGGGTGTTTTCCCATAAATTATACTTCACCTCGACATCGCAAGGTCCAAGCGGATCAAGTGTGGATGAGGTGAGCTGTAGCTGTGTGATTCTCTCACCAAATCGTTTGAGTTCGACCTTATGTGACAGCTAGGCTTCGATATCTAGGTTTTTCGGCTCAACATATCCGATTCAAGAAAAACTCCTAATTCATAGCCTTTAACGACATGCTAACAAGGAGGCCAGTGATTCTGTTCCTTTTTCTCTTAAAATGGGATCCTGTCGAATTCTACTACAATGGTTTTTAATTAAGTTTATGTTTTGCTTTATTCAGTCGCTATCGTTCTTGCCAGTTGGGTTAATTTTTTTATCTGTTATCGGTCAGCAGAAATCGCTCACTGCTTCATTGTTTAACCCTGCTGATGGTGACAATAGTTTAAGGGTCACGTTTATCTCAAACGTATCATGATGACCCTTGCCCTGTGATATCAACATGTATAAATAGTAAAACACCACAATGTTTATCTAATGTGGTTGTCTTGTTAGTAAACACAATACATAACCATCATGATAGGTGTTTATTCGTGTCTGTTTCTCTGCTGGGTGACTCAATGCATTCCATGTACAAGCTCGGCCAATGATCCAAATGGAGTCGTAGTTGTATCTTTACGACCAGGGCAACAACTGAGAGGACTCAACAACACTTCTGCTTTCGGTCAAACCGTGTACACATTTTATGGTGTACCGTATGCAGCGCCGCCCACAGGTAAGTTATGAAGCGGATGATGATTTGATGATTTCTTCTACCGTATTTCTCTGAAAAACGGACAGGGCGTTTGTTAATGTTTCTCCAAAGTGCACGCAAAGACTTTTTTCAGGTGTCTTGATTCTCATCTGCAGAAAAATAACATTTGTTCCAGTAGACAAAATATACAATCTCAGTGTCTTACAATAAGAAGTCCAGTTCATAGCATTACCACGACAAACTGGGATCTCCATTTTTGTAAACACATATTTAAAAGCAATGGTTATGGATGCGTTACTGTGACGAGCTGGTCTGGACAGCTGTTTCTGTCCTTTTAAAAAGTGCTTTGTTTAGATAATATTATTACCAAAGTTCTAAACATTTTCCTATTGCTTTTAATTAGCATAATAACACTGGATTAATTAAGAAATTTCCTTACCTTTTTCTTAATGCTTTATTGTAGCAAAATTATAATTAAAGAGTTGAAAGGTAATATAGGCGAAGAGTAGGGCAAGGGGGACTGAAGAGTTACTTCCTCCTGACTTCCTGTTCCCTTTTCAATTCAGAAATTGACCGGTTCAGACCTAAAGTTGTTAGTCTGCCTGTGGTCCAATTTTCTGTTTGAATTCCCTGCCAGGGGTGAGTTAAAAGAATAAGTTTAATTTGATGTATTGCTGCTTATTCCTCTGAATTAATTTTACAGGCTGAATTCTGAAATTTAATGCCCACATGGCTCAACAACTATGATAAATTTCTGTATCCTCACTAACCACGTTTATGATCTAGTATGTACATGTATGCAAACATATTATCGATTTGATGATTGAATTAATGTTTATTTGCTACTAGAAACGTGCATTGGTATTTTCAATTATTATACTTATATTAATTAAGTGATAATTATGTCCTCATGTGAAATCTCGGCCAGTTCCGGTTTCCAGCATGGTGGGACAATTAAAAAGGAATGAAGTGTATATTCATTATACCTAATCCCTTCTAAGTTGATTTTACCTCATGGTGATATTAGCTTAATAAATCACTGTCTTGCTTTAATTTAGAGTTAGTCCAGATAATTCTGAGACTAGTTTAAGAGCTTGGAAAGTGAATAACACAGTGAGGCTGAATTTAATATTCACACTGTCAGAGAAGAAGAAGCAGAAAAGAGATGTATGGCCCCTGCTTGTAATTATTATTGTTGTAGATATATTTCCCTATTACTAGGAATACATTTCAGTTTTACAGCAGCTGGCCTTACAAATGTAATAATTATATTTCACCCCTCACCACTTCTAAACTCTGCTGAATAAGATTAGCACATGTGTGGATTTAGATTTAAACTGGAGTGAGTGTTGTATATTTTATGTTAATACTGTGACAGATGGAAAGCCCATTGTCATCTATGATTGTATTTTGACATCTATCTCATCACCCAGTATATTGATGGAGATATGTCAATCCCATTTGTTTTCAAACAGTGCAAAGCACCTGTTATGAGTTCCTGGTCTTGGTAAACTCACTCCCTGTTTCTCATTCATTGTGATGTGAACCCATGTGGTTAAAATGAGAATATTGTGAAATATGACTGTGTATGTTTGTGTGTGTGTAAGCATGTTAACCCTTTAAAGGAGTACTAGTGTGCAGACATCAGAACAATTTACACTGAGGAATGTCCTTTCTTTTTGTGTGCTGTAAACTCTTGTTCTTGAGAGTATTCATGAAACTGGTTTCCTAAATATTTCCCCATCAGGATTATGGACCATGTTCTGTACACATTCCCATTCTATACCAGTAGAATGTGAACACCTGTTACTATCCTACTCCATATATATGTGTGTAGTGTAACAGTTTAAAGACTGGAGGTATTGTTGTCTCCAGTTAGAACCTTCCTGACTGTTTGTATAAGGACTGTTCTATTGTTCTAGTTCCAGATTGTATTCCAGATGGTAGTCCAGAAGTAGATCCTAAGCTTAGCTGCAGATACCCGATTGTCCGGACTGGACTGGAAGATTCGGCCTGCCTGATGTGTTTCCGAAGCTTAGTCAGAAGCTGACAACATAAACCTAAGCTACAGCTAAGTGGACAGTTGACCACTTACCTTATATAACAGGATAATTTTATCCACAGCCTTTTATTTAATTATCATTTGAATTTTCAAAATAAATGTAGTTTTAATGTTCTTACAGTTTTCTGAAGTTTCATTTTAACTGTAATTGTGTCAGTGAACAAAAGCTAGTATAACTTTAATACATTTAAATATTCAAATTTAATAACAGTAGGGAATAGATGTGGGCAAACCCAGAATCCTCTCATTTAACCAGCAAGGCTGGGGTTACTATAAGACCGTATGATGTTTCACTGTTTGTAGTTCCCTCTGTAAAGTGCACATAGTGCATTCGCTAGTGTAAAGCGAAGTTACCCGCCACAGTTACCTATCCGGCCTTTATTTTCTTATATTCTGGGTCTACTAAAGTAGTAATAGAGGCGCAATTCGATTAGTAATTGGAGGGCGGTTCAGTTGACACATTTAGAAGAACACGAAAGGGCGGATGGGAAGGCTCCATCAACATGGTGAAGGTCAACTTAGATAGCGTATATAGTAAATGATTCATGTTTCTTAGCTGAGAAGGTTTAATTAGGAGTTAGGGGTATGACTTTATATTTCTACTGTATACTTCAATTAAACTGCACGCGAAAAATGAATCGAATTGCGCCTCTTCTATTTATTAGCCTCATGAGCAGATAATTGGTAGTGCTATTTGTGCTGTCTTTGGGCATACAGAGATAAGGAGCTGGCCGAACGGTTAAAACTGCTAGGCTATTATTGGAGAGACCGTGTTCGAATATTCGGTGGAATTTTGTTTACGTCAGGGGCGGGCGCGCGCGCACACACACACACACACACACAATCATAATTTGCACAGTACATGGTGACTGAAATAGTCATGCGGCTGTAAATAATCACTCTCATAAATCAATCATTAGATGTCGTCACCGCCATGAAGGTTGGCTGCAGTGGATCTCCAGATTGCTATTCGTTCATCTCTTGATGTTGTCCTCACACTTACATAGTTGTCTTTCTCTTGTACTCCTGTGCTCGATCGTCGCCCCCGGTGTGGTTTTCAAAGAACTCAAGAAGTGCCTTTAACATATAGATAGTAAAAACTAATTTCTTTCAAAAAAAAATTTTTTTTTTTTTTTTTAATTATTAAATGCCTGCTTGTTAGAACTCACTGGTCTTACGTTGTGCATTTTCAGGTGGTAGGAGATTTCGCCCACCAGAACCAGCTCCAGATTGGACAGGGATCAGGGACGCCATTACAGAGAGTTCAATATGTCCACAGGGTTCGGTGAGAACAGAAGATTGCCTCTATTTGAATGTGTTTACACCGGATGTGAATGCAACACTTCCGGTATTCGTGTGGATCCACGGAGGTGGTTTCATGATTGGGTCGGCTTACGCTGATGGCGATGGAGCCACCATTGCTCCACAAGGTGTTGTTGCAGTCACCATCAACTACAGACTTGGCCCTTTTGGCTTTCTCTCCACGGGTGATGACATCATGCCTGGAAATTATGGGATGTTAGATCAAATTTTGGCTCTGAAGTGGGTACAGAAGTATATTAGAGCATTTGGTGGCGATCCTGGTCAGGTAACAATTGGGGGCCAGAGTGCCGGAGCTCACAGCGTGTCCTTTATGATCATTTCTCCTTTAGCAAAGGGGCTCTTTCACAGGGGCATTATGGAAAGCGGTTCCTCGCTGGCTTTAACTGCACTAGAAAGGCCGGGGACTAAGGAACAAGTTCGTGAAACCTCATTAGAACTGGCTGCTCGAGTAGGATGTAACCAAAGTCTATCCTCCAGCATCCTGCAGTGTCTACAGAGGGTGGATGTTAACGATTTGATGGATGCTAACAAGAATTTCGCTCCAATGCCGAGAATTGAAACGACTTTTGGCTTCATCCCTGAGGAACCGCTGATTTTGATACAGAAAGGGAATTACAACAAAGTGGACACCTTACACGGAACCAACTCTGGTGAGTGGACCGGAAGCTTCCCAGAATCCAACAACATCAGCGTGGTTAAACAAGAGTTTGTAAATATCATGAAATCTCAATTAAAGTATTTCATAAAAGCGGACGCCATGACAAGCCTCATGACTGATGCCTATACGACGAATGTAACCGACGCCTTTACCTTGGAGAAAATGATTGTTCACGCAGTGGCCGATATAAAATATGGGGGAGCAACCATTGTGGAAACAAGCAAGTATGTAACTACGGGAGACAATCGTACAAACCACTTCCTGTACGAGTTTGACTATAGAATTAGTGGGACAACTACCCCGGCCTGGCGAGGTGTGGTACATGGTGCAGAAAGGTGTTTTGTATTTTACCCGGATGTACGTTACAACTACTCGACGGCAGACGACAGGGCAATGGGACAAGCAGTTCAGACCATGTGGGCGAATTTTATCAAATATGGCGACCCTACGCCTTCGGGTGTTTCCGTAATGTTGAACAGCGGAAATAATACTGTCAAATGGAATAAGTTTACGAACACAACCCCTAACATGTTGAAGATTGATGAACCGTCAAAACTCGTGACTTACCCTAGACTGTTTCTCGTTTCTCTGTATGAGAGAATTCTACAACTGATGAAGTCAGCCAGTAGGTCAACGAATTTTCGCTACAAAAGTTAAAATAGAAACACAAATTACTGTTTTCCATGAAACAGCATGATAATATATGACAACACAGTTGTTCCATATTTGCTACAATGTTTAGACTGTTAGAGATTTTTCTTTATGCATGGTTCAAAGTATTAACTTACGTATTGTACGTTTTTTTGTCTGACAAACCACGCTAAATGTTTACTACTGAATTTTCATCGAGATTCATTAAGCAAACAAAATTACTCCCTTAATTGAAAAATACAAATCACACTATCTTTTGTGAGTATTCCAGTGTACACATACTATGTGAGTTTTCCAGTGATAAAACGCTATGTGAGTATTTCAGTGTACATACATTATATGAGCTTTCCAGTGTGCACATACTATATAAGTTTTTCAGTTTTCACCCACTATGTCAGTATTCCGGTGTACACACACTATATGCGTATTCCAGTGTACATACACTTTGTGTATCCCAGTATAAACACACTATGTGAGTATCCCAGCACACACAATTTGTGAGTATCCCAGCACACACAATATGTGAGTATCCCAGTGCCCACAATGTGTGAGTATCCCAGCACACACAATATGTGAGTATCCCAGTGCATACAATATGTGAGTATCCCAGTGCACACAATATGTGAGTTTCCCAGTGCACACAATATGTGATTATCCCAGTGCATACAATATGTGAGTATCCCAGTGCACACAATAGGTGAGTATCCCAGCACACACAATATAAAAAGTATCCCAGCACACACAATATGAAGAGTATCCCAGCACACACAATATGTGAGTATCCCAGCAAACACAATATGTGAGTATCCCAGCACACACAATATGTGAGTATCCCAGCAAACACAATATGTGAGTATCCCAGCACACATAATATGAAGAGTATCCCAGCACACACAATATGTGAGTATCCCAGCACACACAATATGAAGAGTATCACAGCACACACAATTTGTGAGTATCCCAGCACACAATATGTGAGTATCCCAGCACACACAATATGAAGACACTATGAAGAGTATCCCAGTATAAACACACTATGTGAGTATCCCAGGACACACAATATGTGAGTATCACAGCACACACAATATGTGAGTATCCCAGCACACACAGTATGTGAGTATCCCAGCACACACAATATGTGAGTATCCCAGCACACACAATATGAAGAGTATCCCAGCTCACACAATATGAAGAATATCCCAGCACACACAATATGTGAGTATCCCAGCACACACAATATGAAGAGTATCCCAGCACACACAATATGTTAGTATCCAAGCACACACATTATGAAGAGTATCACAGCACACACAATATGTGAGTATCCCAGCACACACAATATGAAGAGTATCCCAGCACACACAATATGTGAGTATCCCAGCACACACAATATGAAGAGTATCCCAGTATAAACACACTATGTGAGTATCCCAGCACACACAATATGTGAATATCCCAGCACACATAATATGTGAATACCCCAGTGCACACAATATGTGAGTATCCAAGGTGAGGTAATATAAACGTGTCCAGGCTGTGGGCAGACTGAAGGCAATCGTCGACCAGTCGTTCGACAATCGACAATAATATGTGTCGTTAGTACTAGAGTAGAACAGAGAGTTGAATAGTGGCAGCATTTATTTTAATATTAGTAGTACAACTTATAATGTAATGGTGAAATTTGTGTGCGCAAACTAACTGTGGTTAGTGATATAATAGAACTAGACGATGGTAAAATAACAATGTCGCTTTTTGTTGTTCCTTACAATTAGTTCTCTGGTCTTTTTCATAGAAGGTCTAGTGCTCAAGAGAATTCTTTTAACAGAGTTCTTGTAAAAGATGGATAGTACAGAAACGTCAAGAAAAAACAATAACAACGGAGGGGGGAAGTTTTCACTGAGATAATATTAGTGGCGAGGCGTGACCATTTTGCAAGTGTAAATGTTAGCAGGCAACGATTGCACTGAAGAGGGTATCATGTGATATTTAACTCTTCGCCGCTTTGCTGTTTAAAAATAAGTGTGCAGTTAGCATTGTACTAGTAACTAGTAGCTTTAACACGTAACATTTTTTATGAGCGGTATACTTGTTTCTTCTTCTTCTTCTTCTTCTTCTTCTTCTTCTTCTTCTTCTTCTTCTTCTTCTTCTTCTTCTTCTTCTTCTTCTTCTTCTTCTTCTTCTTCTTCTTCTTCTTCTTCTTCTTCTTCTTCTTCTTCTTCTCTTCTTCTTTTTCTTCTTTTTCTTCTTCTTCTTCTTCTTCTTCTTCTTCTTCTTCTTCTTCTTCTTCTTTCTTCTTCTTCTTCTTCTTCTTCTTCTTCTTCTTCTTCTTCTTCTTCTTCTTTCTTCTTCTTCTTCTTCTTCTTCTTCTTCTTCTTCTTCTTCTTCTTCTTCTTCTTCTTCTTCTTCTTCTTCTTCTTTCTTCTTCTTCTTCTTCTTCTTCTTCTTCTTCTTCTTCTTCTTCTTCTTCTTCTTCTTCTTCTTCTTCTTCTTCTTCTTCTTCTTTCTTCTTCTTCTTCTTCTTCTTCTTCTTCTTCTTCTTCTTCTTCTTCTTCTTCTTCTTTCTTCTTCTTCTTCTTCTTCTTTTCTTCTTCTTCTTCTTCTTCTTCTTCTTCTTCTTCTTCTTCTTCTTCTTCTTCTTCTTCTTCTTCTTCTTCTTCTTCTTCTTCTTCTTCTGCTTCTTCTTCTTCTTCTTCTTCTTCTTCTTCTTCTTTTTTCTTCTTCTTCTTCTTCTTCTTCTTCTTCTTCTTCTTCTTCTTCTTCTTCTTCTTCTTCTTCTTCTTCTTCTTCTTCTTCTTCTTCTTCTTCTTCTTCTTCTTCTTCTTCTTCTTCTTCTTCTTCTTCTTCTTTCTTCTTCTTCTTCTTCTTCTTCTTCTTCTTCTTCTTCTTCTTCTTTCTTCTTCTTCTTTTTCTTCTTTTTCTTCTTCTTCTTCTTCTTCTTCTTCTTCTTCTTCTTCTTCTTCTTCTTCTTCTTCTTCTTCTTCTTCTTCTTCTTCTTTTTCTTCTTCTTCTTCTTTTTCTTCTTCTTCTTCTTCTTCTTCATATTACATGTTGTTTGCTGTGGTCTGTGACATGTGATCTGCATGGTAATTTTCCCTTAAAAAGTCATGTTGTGATATGGTTTACAGCTATGCTGCGATATCTGCGCTTTTTTCGGCTAGCGTATCCGATGTCAGCTAATTCCAAATTATGCGCAGTTAACGCCATGATTGAGAGGGAGCATTGATGGAGGATCATTATCGCTTCCACGTCGACAGGGCACAAGATGATAATTCTCCTGTGTCTAGTAGCTAATGAACGCGCAGCGAGCTCCTTGGTACAGATCGACTTTATAACTGGGTCAAAAACAAATTATTAAAGAGAAACGTTATCTTTGTGCTGCGGTGGCAATCTCAGACCTCAAAAACAGACCTGTCCTATAAATGGTTCAACATTCAAATTCGACAATGATAGATATTTGTGTGTGGTCAAGACAAGATCTATTAAACACTACCGCGATGTGCGGCGTCTACTTCTCTTTGCTAATCCTCAGCTGTATCGCACATACGATCCACAGCCAAGCGATACCACACGTGACGATATCTCTGGGACCAGCTCAACATCTGAGAGGACTTAACACAACACAGGGTTCTGGTCACCGAGTCTACAAATTCCTTGGAATCCCGTATGCTCGTCCGCCATTGGGTTCGTGTTCTGATTGTGAAATGTTAATTATGTTCTTTTTAATATTTACATTTATAGGACGAAAGATTAGTACTTAGACCAGATAGTTCACAGTCTTCTGTTCTTCGCTGGTCTTTCTGTGGAATCCTTACCCGCACAGGCCTGCGTGTTGTTCCTGACTGCTGTTACCGTTAGGGGTGCCCAAATTATAATTTATTTGGAGGCTGAATAATCTGAGGACTGCTGTTTGTCTGCTACTCAAATACGCATGCAGCTTGTATTGTTCTAATAACTGGTAGCTTTCATATATTACAGTTTCGTTATTAGTTGCCTGAGCATACAGTCAGCGTTGTTTTAGCCATGTTAATACTCTTAACAAGAGTTACGATCTCAGCAAACGCTGTGTGTGTGTGTGTGTGTGTGTGTGTGTGTGTGTGTGTGTGTGTGGTAACTCTCAAGGTTTTAAACCTTCCAGTTCCGGACCTGTTGGAACAAACTTACTGATAGATGCCCCTGTCAGAAAGCTTAAATCAAGAGTCAGCGAGTATTGATGAAAACTATCATGCAGTGCAAATCTTTCTATGTACAATATATCTTCGTCCTCCCTGTTGTGGCAAACGGCCAGTTTACATTGCTGGAGATAATGCTCAACATTTTCTGGTACAAATTTGCTTGGACACATCTGTGTCTCCTACACTGAAAGACTTGATCATATGTTGAAATCGTCTGTTGTGTCCTGTTTATTTTTATATTGTTTTTTTTTTTTTTACAATGCATTGTCCCGATCTAGTGAGGCGATGAAGCCAGTTGAATGAGACAATTTGCAGCTAGTTTCAGCTATCTTTCTTGGATACTAGTTTTGCTCAATGTCTTAGTCATTCGATGGGTGAACTTTAACTACTCCGTGTAGCTAAGTCAATATGTGGCAATATTGTTTATGATCATAATCATCAACTTCCATTTTTGCCCTTAAGCGTCGTGGTGAGAAACCGTTTGCAGTCCAATTCTTAGTTGCTAGCACAAGCTTCTAACATTCCGTGTGGATGCAGACTGTCTTTGATGTCGTCAATCTGTTTCCTCCCTGGACGCCCTCTTGCTTTCATAACTCTCTGTTATTTGTCTCTCCTGTGTTGGCAGCTGTTGTTACTGTTTTCCAGGGAACTCGCGGAACCATGTGTTTGATCTTCTGCTTATCAGTTAATTTAATACAAAGGGCTGTTCACAGGGGATGAGTGATAGTATCGTTTCTCACCTGGTCTCAGATGGTCACAGAATTGCCGGCTTTCCTGAAGCATCTCATCTCATCTAATTGTGGTAAAATGTGTATATATATATATATATATATATATATAAAGAGCGCGCGTGCACGCTCGCGAGAGAGAGAGAGAGAGAGAGAGAGAGAGAGAGAGAGAGAGAGAGAGAGAGAGAGAGAGAGAGAGAAAGAGAGATTATTTTAAAAACTGTGACTGTTGAGGCAGTTATGGAACACCACATGGAACAGTTCGTGTAACGAATACAGTTTCAACTTCTTACAGGTGATCGAAGATTTCGGCCACCAGAACCAGAACCAGACTGGACAGGGGTCAAGGATGCTGTCAACAGAAGTTCGATATGTCCCCAGGGGAACTCAAGAACAGAAGACTGTCTCTATCTGAATGTGTTCACCCCGGATGTGAATGGAACGCTTCCGGTTTTCGTTTGGATTCATGGAGGAGGCTACACAACTGGGTCAGCATTTGGTGATGGGGATGGTGCTACCATGGCGCCTCAAGGAATTGTGACAGTCACAATCAACTACCGACTTGGACCTCTTGGGTTCATGTCCACGGGTGATGCTGCCATGCCGGGAAATTATGGGATGCTAGACCAAGTTTTGGCTCTGAAGTGGGTAAAGAAATACATCAAAGCATTTGGTGGCGATCCTACTCAGGTAACAATTGGAGGCGAGAGCGCAGGAGCTCACAGCGTCTCGTTGTTGATTGTATCGCCTCTAACCAAAGGGCTCTTCCACAGGGCGGTTATGGAGAGTGGATCAGGGCTTGCTCTAACGGCACTAGAAAGACCAGGGACAAGAACTAAATTGAGAACAACCACCCTACGGTCTGCAGCCCGTGTTGGATGTAATCAAGCTGCTTCTTCCGAAATCCTGCAGTGTCTACAGAAGGTTGATATTCAGCATCTTATGAACGCTACCAGAGATTTTACTCCATTGCCTAGAATTGAAACCACCTTTGGATTCATGCCCGAAGAACCGATAACTCTGATACGAAATGGTAATTATAATAAAGTGGATACACTACACGGAACTAACTCGGGCGAAGGGGCTGGCAATGTCGTCGACGCTAAGAACGATGGAGTGACTCTGCAAGAGTTCAGAAACACTATTGGAAGTCAAGTCGGAGGATTTCTCAACGCAGGCGCCATTACCAGTCTGTTTACTGATGCCTACACTGCTAACCTAACAGACCCTTTTCTGCTACGGCAAACTTTAGTTCACGCAGTTGCTGATATTAAATATGGCGGTGCAACTATGGTTGAAACCAGCAAGTATGTTTTGGCGCCGAACACGAAACATTTCTTGTATGAGTTTGCTTACAGAATAACCGGAACAGGCTCGCCGGAGTGGCAAGGCGTCGGTCACGCAGCAGAAAGAGGCTTTGTGTTTTATGGAGGTTTTTCTCATCCAAACGACAAAGCGATTGGTGAAACTGTTCAGAAGATGTGGGCGAATTTCATTAAAAACGGTGACCCAACACCCACGGACATCACCATCAAATTAGAAAGTGGCAGTAATACTATCAAGTGGAATGCGTTTACCAACAATAACCCTCGCATGTTAATAATTGACGCGCCCTCAAAACTCGTGACATATCCTCGACTATTCGTCGTTCCCTTATTTGAGAAAATTCTAGAAATAATGCAGTCAGACGTAGAGCCCATTGTTGGTTAGAAAGTTTAAACACACATGGAACTCACTTACAACAGTGGAATAAAAGTATTTTAGTTTAAATTCGGAATTTTTGTTATGTCTTCATACACCAACAATATGTAGTTCATGTCGTATTGAGATGGCATTATGTGTGTTAGCAGCTTTTAGTCTTCTGCACAGCTAATCGTTTCTGATACATATGCTCCTTTCTGTTATGATCCCAAACTGTTCAACATCTGCTCTGTCTTGGTCACCCCTTGATTTTCTTCTCTGAACTCGTATGTTGTCACACAGTGCTCCAGTTTTACCTTTCTCGTGGAATGCCAATTTAATGCGGATAATTAGTTTTGGTGAGTTGATTTATTTACAAACCAGCGTAAAGCTTCTTCGGTGGTGGATACTTCGTCATGAGACGACAGGCAGGCATTACCCCACCATCCATAAGAGATCCAAGACGTCCATTACGGAGGCGCACGGCTGATTCTCGGACGAAGCGTGGAAGAGGAAGATTTCAAGGCATCTCCATGTTTCTTTTATAATATCTGGCATGGTATCCTCATAGTTCTTCTACTACTACTTCTTCTTCTTCTTCTTCTTCTTCTTCTTCTTCTTCTTCTTCTTCTTCTTCTTCTTCTTCTTCTTCTTCTTCTTCTTTTTCTTCTTCTTCTTCTTCTTCTTCTTCTTCTTCTTCTTCTTCTTCTTCTTCTTCTTCTTCTTCTTCTTCTTCTTCTTCTTCTTCTTCTTCTTCTTCTTCTTCTTCTTCTTCTTCTTCTTCTTCTTCTTCTTCTTCTTCTTTTTCCTCCTTCTCTTTTTTTCATTTTCTTCTTCTTCTTGAGAATTTCTTCTTCTTCTTCTTCTTCTTCTTCTTCTTCTTCTTCTTCTTCTTCTTCTTCTTCTCTTCTTCTTCTTCTTCTTCTTCTTCTTCTTCTTCTTTTTCTTTTTTTTTTTCATCTTTTTTCCTCATCCTCCCCGTTTTTCTTCTTCTTCTTCTTCTTCTTCTTCTTCTTCTTCTTCTTCTTCTTCTTCTTCTTCTTCTTCTTCTTCTTCTTCTTCTTCTTCTTCTTCTTCTTCTTCTTCTTCTTCTTCTTCTTCTTCTTCTTCTTCTTCTTCTTCTTCTTCTTCTTCTTCTTCTTCTTCTTCTTCTTCTTCTTCTTCTTCTTCTTCTTCTTTTTACTTCAAAAGTGCGATTATCACGTTATTTTGGGGTTTACAGCTAGGCAGCGATACTATTGCCTTTTAGCCCAATACATGCGCTTCCAGTACGCTTAATGTGTCGTCTTTAACGACCTGCTTGGTATGTTGCTTAGGCGTTGCGAACGCGCTTCACAATCCTGGGAAAACCAGTATAGTATGTATGAAACATTTTCAAACGTCTGATATTATTGTATCTGATAAATATACAGACAAATCTGTAGTTTAACATATACTCCCAAGGAAGAATCCCTTTTTAGCAAAAGATATTTATTCAACAGTCTTTCCAGATGTTATATCTTATTTATCGGTGAAAGTACGAGCCTTTTGCAAAACTCCAGAGGAACGTGTTTCACAAGTTAATATTAAATATGATCTACAAGTAAATGAATGGCTGTCCTCAGAAATCACTACAGGTTTTCAAGATCTGGAGTAACAGATAGGACACAAACTGAAAGGAGAGTTTAAAAAAAAAATGAAATTCACTTCTGTAGATGGAGCTTTAGCCTGTATTGTTTTGTATGTCATTACCATACATTTAGACTCTGTCCATAGGTGACAGCATCAAGTGTTACTTGACATGACTATACAAGTATTGTCAAAGATAAAAAGGTTAGTGACAGAGACCTTAAATAAATTGTAGACAACAATAAACTTGAGAGATGGCCACAGCTTGAAAATCTTGTAGTCCACTACAATGCCTGGGATTGTAGCAAAATGCAGTGCCAAGATAGCTTCACGGATTTAATGGGAGAATCAGGAAGTATTTTAAAAAGTGCTGCAGAGCAACAATGAACTTCTAAGGGAACAGCTGATGAAGTCTTCTTCTTCTTCTTCTGCCTTTCTATCACCCAATGGAGCATAGGCCCTCAACCAACTCACGTCAAGTCGTTCTATCCTTCGCCATTACATGGATCTCTCCCTATGTCCTCCCAATCTTTCTAACCACATTATCCAGCTCTCTTCTCCATGTGTTTTTTGGCCTTCCTTTATTCCTATGCCCCTGTGGGTTCCAATGCAAAGACATTCATTTCCTTTGCTAATTCCATTGTTCTCCCTATATCATAGAGAGTTCTAACATTCCAGGTGCCAATTCTGGAGGTTTTCCAAGCTGAGAGGAGGTAAGTCAACGATCCGGACTCCTTACGGCTTTCTCCACACCGTGTCATACTTCTTCTATTTGAAGAGCCTCTCCTCATCTTAGTTGGCTGGATTTTATTTGTTTCTCTTTTTGACTTATCCATGGTTGGTTGGTTTTTGTGGCTATGGTTTTTACAGGATGAGGTAGCCAACCTCAAGCCCAACCCTACCCTTAGTCGCCTCTTACGATATGCCTGGTAGGGTGCAGTGTCACTATTCTTTGCTTCCCGTGAGGGCCCCGGGGACACACAGGCGTAACTGACACAAATTGTAATGATGCTATAAATAGGGATAACGTCAGGGGATGACTGGCATAATTGGGGAAGTCCCTGAGAGCATGGGTTTCACGGAGATATGGTGAAACGACAGGAAAGAGTGAGTCACGTGTGAATGGTGAGATTTGGGGGATTGAGAATCAGGCGGTCATTCTGTGACTGGGCCCCAGACTGGAAGGAAGTGCAACTGAAGCTGTGAAGATGAATCGAGAATGACGAGAGCATGTGGATCTGAATCAGCGTCGAATGAATGATCGTGAAGGCCAGCTGTTATGTTACCCTGTTTGATTGTTGAGGCCAGCCGTGAATATGTCAGCGTCCATTGTCCGAATGCTGTAAGTGGATTCTCCTGTGATTCGTGTCTTGTGCTACAGTGATAATAAACTCGTGAAATGTGCCGCTGGTGTCACCCGTTGTTAGAAGTCGTGTGACCGTGAAGAGAGATCATGTCTGCTTTGATTGAGCTGTGACCCTCTAGACAACAGAGCCATTGTTAACTCTGCACTAGAGATATCCAGTGTGGAGGAGACAGAAGGGCAGTCATTACACAAATAAACTTTCTTGCAGAGCTGCTGCAGCTGTTAACCTATTTTTTTTTTTTTTAACAGAAGGAGTTACAGTTGTAGCACATTAAGTTTCGCTTTCATGCTGTTCATTAAATCTCCAGCATGCTACCTTTTTATAAGAAAATCTCGTATGTTGTGCCTGCCTCATCAAAGAACACTGCACAATTTAACTTCACAGTTGTCATTGTCTACTCATACTGGCAGCATTTCACAGTACTTGAAATTGAAACAAGACAAACTGACAGAGCTAGGAAAGATTGTAGTAGTTCAGATGGATGAAATATCTGTTAAATCTGCAATTAATTACTCTGGAGGCAAACTGTTTGACAATACAGACAATGCAGTAGTAACAACGGTGCAGATTTCCCTCATTCTTCAGTTTTTGGAAGCTACCAGGAAGTAATAAAACTTTCACTTGTGAACAGAATGACATCTCGGAACCTGTGTTTAAAATTACTCCACTGTATCCACTTTGTACAGGAGTTTGGCTTCACAGTAGTTGCTGTCATTACTGACAATAGTGCCGACAATCGCAAAGTTTATACTGATCTGCGGAAACCAAGCCGGAAGCTAACTTTTCTCATTCAAAGAAACTGTATTATAGTGAGCAACAGAATATTGCGTAATGTCGGTACTCCCCCCCCCTCCCCCAATGTGTCCCTTTAAAACAAAAATTTTGAATAAGCTCCAGTATAGTAGAAAATTGAGCGGCGTCCGTGGCTAAGGCGTTGCGAGTCCGACTCGTAAGCCAGCATACCACGATCGAAACCCATTGCAGGCTGCGTGGATTTTTGTCGTGGTATGGGACGTCGCAGGTCGACCCAGCCTAAAATGGGTACCAGGATGGGCTATCATGGGAAAGTAAAGACGGCCGGCGTAATGCTGACCACATTACCCACAGAGTGCTGATGGTCTGTAAAAATATTGGACGCTCTGCCTGATGCGCCGAAAAGCGTGAAAAGGGATTTTTTTTTTTTTATAGAACAAAATTAGAAGTGATGCTTTAAATACCTGAAATGTGTGTGTGTGTGTGTGTGTGCATGCGTGTTTGCGTGTTTGTGCATGCGTGTGTGTGTGAGATCTTCCCCCCCCCCCCACTCCTCTTGAAGTATGACAGCTGCAATTGAAAGAAAAACACACAGAAACTGACTGAAACAACTCATTACGTTTGTAATTTTATCATTCAATGGTATCAGCTAAACATCATCACCATCATCATCATCATCATCATCATCATCATCATCATCATCATCATCATCATCATCATCATCATCATCATCAGTTCAAACATTTGCAGTATGCTTATTCTTTGGGTGTCTTGTTCAACCTAAGTTGTACAATATAATATTTTTGAACATATATTCTTATAATAAATCAAAATATGTACACATTTTGGGACAGCCTTTATTGAACACACATGTAATAATAAACATTATAATTGTTACCAGCAGGATTCTTACTGGCACAGAACTACATGTGACCCCCGGGTTGGTGTAGTCGGTTTCTGTGCCTGAATTATAAAACTTTAGGAGCAATGATGTCTTAACACATGGGCCCAATGGGCACTTGCGAGGGGGCCCTATTAGCACAGGGGGCCCTATGCTAATCTCTGTGTGTCAAGCGACCATTTACATTTTATTTCTGTGAGTAGTTGTCGCAGGGGCCCCAGCACACCGGTTTTCCCAGGGGCCCATGATGCTGTTTAACAGCTCTGGTTAGGTCTCGTATACAGGGTTTATTCAGTTGGTCTGCTATCCAGATTGATATTTTTTTGCTTAGGATGTCGAAAGCGGAAACAAACGAAAAGGTACTAAGTAAAAACACTTCATCTAACTACCCAACAATGGGAATCCTTTGTACGGGTGTGTTTGCAAGCTCTATAATTTTCTCATACAAGTTAATCAACAAGGGTCTTGGGTAAGTCACAAGCTTGGACACTACGTTTATCTCCAGTAAATTAGGCTGGTCTGGAGTAAACGGCTCCCACTTCACAAGCTTAGGTCCTCCTGTAGATGTCTGAACGCTTGTGGGAGTAGGGTCACCATATTTGATGAAGTTTGCCCACATTGTCTGAACTTGACGACCTACCGCCCTATCGTCTGCTGTAGAGTAATTGTAGCGGGAATTGGGATAAAATACAAACCCCAGTTCAGCTGAGTGGTCGACGCCCCACCAGGCGGGCGTCTTTGTGCCACTTATTCTGTAGTAAAATTGATAGAGAAAATGTTTGGTTGCTACATCCGGAGTCTTTGTGTACTTGATTATTTCTGTAAGACTACCGCCCCCAAAAACCCAGTCTACAAGCTCTTGAACGAGGATTGATCTCAGCACCAATGGGTCTGTCTCATTGCCTGTGTAAGCATCGACTAGCTCCTGGACAAGCTCTTCGGTGTTGCTGAAGCTTTCTAATTGACTTTTAACGGCATTTCGAAACTCTTGTCTTGTTACACCATCGTCTTCGGGATCCTGCATGAACGCTGACCCTTCTCCGGAGTTGGTTCCTTGTAGAGTGTCCACTTTGTTGTAATGTCCAGCTTTCAGCAAATTTAAAGGATAATCGGGCAAAAACCCAAATTTCGATTCGACTCTAGGAACAAGACTAGCGTCAAGTGTTGCCAACATCAGTTCATCAACATTAACTTCTTGAAGACACTGTAAAACCTCAGCAGAAGTCGTTTGGTTGCATCCTACACGCTCTGCAGATCTCAACGTGGAATCCCTGACTTGATTTCCAGATCCCATCCTTTCTACCGCGCTAAGAGACAGCGAGGAACCGCTTTCCATTATGGCTCTTATAAACAGTCCCTTTGTTAACGGGGAAACTACAAGAAGGGACACGATGAAAGCCCCTGCACTTTGCCCACCAATGGTCACTTGTGAAGGATCTCCACCAAATGCTGAAATGTATTTCTGAACCCACTTTAGAGCAAGTACCTGGTCTAACATCCCATAATTTCCTGGCATGACATCATCACCGGTGGACAGAAAGCCCATAGCTCCGAGTCGGTAGTTGATAGTCACCGCTACAACCCCTTGAGGCGCCATGGTAGCACCATCAACATCGCTGTAAGCGGAACCTCCACGATAGGCACCCCCATGGATCCACATGAGAACCGGAAGTGAAGCATTTACATCCGGTGTGAACACATTGAGATAGAGGCAGTCTTCTGATTTCACGGAGGTTAGATTATCGAACGTAAACTGACTACATATTGCACTCTGCGAGACGGCGTCTCTGATCCCCGACCAGTTGAGGGCTGGTTTTGGTGGCTGAAATCTGAGATTACCTGAAAGTATAACAAAGCATAATGTTCAAGTTTTAATTAGGAAAGAATAGGACAATTTTTACGCCAGTATTACGCGTCATGCCCAGTAAGCCAATTAGCAAGTCCTTTACAGAACGTCGCTCTCTTCACCTCACGCTTGAAAGTCTCTCTGTCTATAGCCGATTCTCCAGCCCTGTGTACCTTCATGGCCAATGCATCTCCAATTTCCTGTATCCACATTCGCGGAGGTCGGACTCGTTCTCCGGAAGCTGTAGCCTCCATCACTGTTCTCTCCAGGCTAACAGAACACTTGACCCCAGCTTTTGTGAGAGGATGCTGTTTACGAGCCAGTTCTCCTTCTTGTTCAGGTCAATCCGGATGTCGACGTTTTTCTTCTTCTTGGTCCACTGTACCCTCAGAATTTGTCAGCAGCATTTCAGTTCAACATCTCTGATTGTCTTCTTCAAAGACGGAGTGACAGTCCATGACTCACATTCACAAGTTACCACAGGAAAGATGTATGATCTCATATGTGTCTAGGCTTATCTGCACTTCTTGGGCGATGTGGTGACATTTCCTTTCACGCCTCTACTTCTTGGAACTCTACCTGGTTTAGACAGACATTCAGACAGATAGATAGATAGATAGATAGATAGATAGATAGATAGATAGATAGATAGATAGATAGATAGATAGATAGATAGATAGATAGATAGATAGATAGATAGATAGATAGATAGATAGATAGATAGATAGATAGATAGATAGATAGATAGATAGATAGATAGATAGATAGATAGATAGATAGATAGATAGATAGATAGATAGATAGATAGATAGATAGATAGATAGATAGATAGATAGATAGATAGATAGATAGATAGATAGATAGATAGATAGATAGATAGATAGATAGATAGATGCAAAGCGGGTAGACAGACAGACAGACAGACAGACAGACAGACAGACAGACAGACAGACAGACAGACAGACAGACAGACAGACAGACAGACAGACAGACAGACAGACAGACAGACAGACAGACAGACAGACAGACAGACAGACAGACAGACAGACAGACAGACAGACGGGTGGATAAATGGATGGAAGAAGGGACAGACAGACAGACAGACAGACAGACAGATAAATGTATGGAAGAAGGGACAGACAGACAGACAGACAGACGGACGGACAGACAGACAGACAGACAGACAGATCGATAAATGGATGGAAGGAGGGATGGACAGACAGACAAGACAGACAGACAGACAGACAGACAGACAGACAGACAGACAGACAGACAGACAGACAGACAGACAGACAGACAGACAGACAGACAGACAGACGGGTGGATAAATGGATGAAAGAAGGGACAGACAGACAGACAGACAGACAGACAGACAGACAGACAGACAGACAGACAGACAGACAGACAGACAGACAGACAGACAGACAGACAGACAGACAGACAGACAGACAGACAGACAGACAGACAGACAGACAGACAGACAGACAGACAGACAGACAGATCGATAAATGGATGGAAGGAGGGATGGACAGACAGACAAGACAGACATTACTTCACTCACCTACTGGTGGAATTGCATAAGGTATCCCGTAAAACATGTACACCTTGACACTAGACGGTGAGCTGACATTGAGTCCCTTCAGCCGCTGATTGGCTCCTAAATCTACCACCACAGTCTGTCTGGGGTCCTCCACATCCTGGGCAATGATGCTGACAGAAACAGACCCCAATAACAGCAAAAATACATAAACGTTCATCTTCTTAAGTGTTGATTGCTGAATATTATCCTCTAGATGAACGCAGTTTTATTTTATAGTGACTAGACCCGAGAGTTTATACACGAGTTGTATCAGAGCAGAAAATGCTGACTTGTTTATTGACAGGTAAGTTTGGGAACAAGACATGTGTATGAAAAACCAGACATAGGTCATTATCTATACATAACAGAGCTTTCTAAACGTTTTCTGTTGGTGACACACATTTAGATAAATATCTTCTTCTTTTTCTGTTGCAGCTGCTTCTTCTTTTTCTCTTTCTTCTTTTTCTTCTTCTCCTTCTTCTTCTTCTTCTTCTTTTCTTCTTCTTCTTCTTCTTCTTCTTATTATTATTATTATTATTATTATTATTATTATTATTATTATTATTATTCTGCTGTTCCTCCTTCTTTTCTTCTTCTTCTTCTTCTTCTTCTTCTTCTTCTTCTTCTTCTTCTTCTTCTTCTTCTTCTTCTTCTTCTTCTTCTTCTTTGTCTTCTTCTTCTTCTTCTTCTTCTTCTTCTTCTTCTTCTTCTTCTTCTTCTTCTTCTTCTTCTTCTTCTTCTTCTTCTTCTTCTTCTTCTTCTTCTTCTTCTTCTTCTTCTTCTTCTTCTTCTTCTTTTTCTTCTTATTGTTATTATTATTATTATTATTATTATTATTATTATTACTACTACTATTATTATTATTATTATTATTATTATTATTATTATTATTATTATTATTATTATTATTATTATTATTATTATTATTATTATTCTGCTGCTCCTCCTCCTTTTTTTTCTTCTTCTTCTTCTTCTTCTTCTTCTTCTTCTTCTTCTTCTTCTTCTTCTTCTTCTTCTTCTTCTTCTTCTTCTTCTTCTTCTTCTTCTTCTTCTTCTTCTTCTTCTTCTTCTTCTTCTTCTTCTTCTTCTTCTTCTTCTTCTTCTCCTCCTCCTTCTTCTTCTTCTTCTTCTCCTTCTTCTTCTTCTTCTTCTTCTTCTTCTTCTTCTTCTTCTTCTTCTTCTTCTTCTTCTTCTTCTTCTTCTTCTTCTTCTTCTTCTTCTTCTTCTTCTTCTTCTTCTTCTTCTTCTTCTTCTTCTTCTTCTTTTTCTTCTTCTTCTTCTTCTTGTTCTTCTTCTTCATATTCTTCTTCTTCTTTTTCTTCTTCTTCTTTTCTCCTCCTCCCCCTTCTTCTTCTTCTTCTTCTTCTTCTTCTTCTTCTTCTTCTTCTTCTTCCTATTATTATTATTAATATTATTATTATTATTATTATTATTATTATTATTATTCCCCTTCTTCTTCTTCTTCTCCTTCTTCTTCTTTTTCTTCTTCTTCTGTATTTCTCCGAAAATGTAAATGTGTTGTGCCAGTTTACAACATGGTTGCCATGTTTGCCTCTTTCAGCCTACACATCCGACTTCTGCTTGCATTTCTTGCAGGTGTTGGTCCTGACGGAGATAAACAATGTCGTGACGCAAGATTGTGGCCTAATCTAGAGCCTATCTCAAAGTCGTGACGTCGACAATAATCTAGGAAACTCCTGTACAGATCGAGGCGAATTTTTGCATGTGGCTTTATGTTTCCCGTGTACTTATAACTCTATTATTTATCATTGCAACGGTTCTGCTGTTTCTTAAAGCGGCGAATTTCTTTGATCTTTGTTTCACTAATAATTGGTGTACTCCTAAACAATCGAATATACAGGAACTGACACAGTTGTGGGAATTTGTTTTGAAATCAGTTTACATGGGCATGGTGGGTCGGCTCTGTGGCTAAGTCGATGCGAACGCTTCGTAATGCCGTGGTGCCAGGTTCGATCCCAGCTGCAGGCCATGCGCCTTGCGTTGGTTTCGACAGTGGCATCAGTTGGCCGACCGTCTAGGAAGCAATGGCAAACTACTGGACGTAAATGTGCCTAGAAAAACCACACAACAGCCAGGGACTGCCCGGGTTGGTTCTGCAACGTACTGTAAAGGATACGCAACTCACCTTGTGTGCATGGTAGTTATTTTGATAGCATATCTCGCATACAATGAAAAGTTGTAAAAATCAAGGTAGTGCTAGAGTTGACCATCTCCGAGTAAAACGTCTGTGAAATGCGTGTAACTGGGTGTGTTCAAACGTTTCCGTTACTGCATTAACTGTAGGCATGCTACGTTCTTGCTTCAAATCGATGTCTGTTTTATATACGGCAAATAAGGCAAAATGAAAACTAGATTTTTGGTAACTTTTTAAAATTATCTTATAAGGGCATGATTATTACAATGTTGCATGCCAGATTGATTTCAACAAGTTACAACGAACGGTTACTGGGTGCAGATTGTACAGTCGGGCATGCCTGTTGAAACTGACTATAATCTGGTTCTTCCACATTTGTTTACTACGTTATTTCAGCCGCTAGACGTCGCTGTTTAACAAGTGAACGCTTCGTTGCTTGGTTCGTTGTGATTTTGTGAAGACAAGCCAATCAGTGTCTCCTTCAGTCCATATTCTTCTAGGTCTTCCTCTTCCTTTTAGGTGTTTCTATGTTTCTTTTTCTTCTTCAAGTCCATGCCGTATGGCGCTGGTAGTCATGTCTATCCACAACCTTCTATTTCGTGTACTTTCAATCAACGCTGATACGGATGCCATGATGTCAAGATGTCCAGCGTCTTTTCTCTCCGTCTCCCTCTGCCTCTCCTCCCTTCCAGTTTTCCTACTGTTACGATGTACTACAGTTTTCTCTATCTCACGAATAAGCAAAGAATGTAGATTGTCTCTTTCTGGTGTGGGCAATCATTTCTCTTCGTTTCTTTCAAGACATCTTCATTAATCTTTTTATCTGTCCAGGGTATCATCATCATTCATCTATAAAACCACAGCTTCACATCTTCTAAAATAATGTTCCACTAATCACCAACTGTCCATAATTCCCTTCCATATTTAAGAATAGGATTTATATACTGCTTCTAAGAATGCTCTTTCTCGTCTGACTTGTATGTGTCTTTGTTTATGCTATGCGATCTCGATAGCGACATGGTCATTTTTGTTGGGTCTCTGAATCCTCTAAGTTTTGTTCTATTGTCCTTTTCCCTACAACTTGATATTCGAAATCTCAGTGTGCTAACGATAGTTTTCATCATCAATATATTTTATTTACGTGACCACAGATATTCTGTGTCTCGATTGTAGTCGCTTAGCTTGCTTGTTTCCTACGAATATGAGATGACTGACTATTCTTTGTGCCCTATTTGTTTTGTTTGCTGATTTTCTTAATTTAAACCACATTTTTCTCTATTTCAAACCAACGTACTGAAATGATTGGGGCATATTGAAAGAATGTCAGATCACAGAGTAGTAAAAACTACATACACCAGGGAGATGAATGGTCGTAGAACACGAGGCAGACCAAGAAGACTATGGAGAGATAATGTCCAGACAGACCTGTAAACACTTGCTGTCACCAACTGGAAAGAGAGGGCCAACCACAGAGATGAGTAAAGGCGGGTGATATCTTCAGCAATAAAGTAGTTGTTTTCAGTTTGATTTATATCACTAATACATGTCCCCTGTAGTTGTTATCTTTTTGGTTTATATCACTAATACATGTCCCCAGTAGTTGTTATCTGTTTGGTTTATATCACTAATACATGTCCCCAGTAGTTGTTATCTGTTTGGTTTATATCACTAATACATGTCCCCAGTAGTTCATGTCCCCAGTAGTTGTTATCTGTTTGGTTTATATCACTAATACATGTCCCCAGTAGTTGTTATCAGTTTGGTTTATATCACTAATACATGTCCCCAGTAGTTGTTATCAGTTTGGTTTATATCACTAATACGTGTCCCCAGTAGTTGTTATCAGTTTGGTTTATATCACTAATACATGTCCCCAGTAGTTGTTATCTGTTTGGTTTATATCACTAATACATGTCCCCAGTAGTTGTTATCAGTTTGGTTTATATCACTAATACATGTCCCCAGTAGTTGTTATCTGTTTGGTTTATATCACTAATACATGTCCCCAGTAGTTGTTATCAGTTTGGTTTATATCACTAATACATGTCCCCAGTAGTTGTTATCAGTTTGGTTTATATCACTAATACATGACCCCAGTAGTTTTTATCAGTTTGGTTTATATCACTAATACATGTCCCCAGTAGTTGTTATCTGTTTGGTTTATATCACTAATACATGTCCCCAGTAGTTGTTATCAGTTTGGTTTATATCACTAATACATGTCCCCAGTAGTTGTTATCAGTTTGGTTTATATCACTAATACATGTCCCCAGTAGTTTTTATCAGTTTGGTTTATATCACTAATACATGTCCCCAGTAGTTGTTATCTGTTTGGTTTATATCACTAATACATGTCCCCAGTAGTTGTTATCAGTTTGGTTTATATCACTAATACATGTCCCCAGTAGTTGTTATCAGTTTGGTTTATATCACTAATACATGTCCCCAGTAGTTGTTATCAGTTTGGTTTATATCACTAATACATGTCCCCAGTAGTTGTTATCAGTTTGGTTTATATCACTAATACATGTCCCCAGTAGTTGTTATCAGTTTGGTTTATATCACTAATACATGTCCCCAGTAGTTGCTATCTGTTTGGTTTATAACACTAATACTATAGAACTTTCTTTCTTCTGTCCACGCTCTGCTTGGTACCTTTTTTTTTTTATATATCCAGAAGCCATGAGTTGTTAACCCTTAGGCTCGGTATTATGGATATCGCAACCTTTCGGCCTTGATTCCATTGTAAATACCGTACATCTGGGAGAAATGTGGCTTCTCTGCCTACCCCCGGGCGTGAACCCGGACCACAAGGAGTTCGTCACCCGGTCACCGCGCAGTCAGATTTAACCAACTAAGTTTAGCGAGCCGGCTTGGTATCATGAGACGTCGCAAGTTAACAGATGATGAAATCCGAGCTAGGGTACGCTCGGTTGTCGGTTTGTTCTGATGTTGTGGAGTCTCAGTAACTCCTTCAATCCGTATTATTTTGAGTCATCTCCTACCTCTTGGTGTTTCTACATTTTCGTTGCTGGCATCATTGTCTTTGTTGTTTCAGTAAATTTAATTATAGGTTGATTCAATAGTTTTTTTTTTTTTTTTTTTTTTTTTTTTTTTTTCAGTAAATTTAATTATAGGTTGATTCAATAGTTTTTTTTTTTTTTTTTTTTTTGTAATTTCTTCGTTTCTCACATGATCTCTTCTAATTTTATTCACAGCCTTTTACAAACATCTTATTTCGCAGGTGGTCCGTTTTCTTTCAGGTTCGTAAGTAGTATCCAAGTCTGATAGCACAAGGTTGGTATTACATTTATAATGTGTCTTTTTATCTCTGTTGGGAAAGCTCTTGAGTTTCAAAAATAGGACCAGCTGATACGCGATATTCTGGGCTGGTTGGATTCTCGTTTCTACAAAGTGATATGTGCTATAAGAAATAGCGTGTTTCGCAGATGCATGTTTACCCAAACTAGTCATCAAGGGAATTGATAATGATGGTGATGGCTATGACGACGATAACGGTGTTGATGATGATGATGGTGAAGAAAAGACTCTGCTTCAACTTGTGTGTACAGCTTTATATCTTAATAGATTTGTACATAACAACAACAACGACAACAACAACAAATAATAATATTTTTTTGAAAATATTCTATTATTAAATTTTTTTTCTTCTAGTTATCCAACAATGGGGCTCTCTTGTGGCGCTGAGTTTGCAAGTTCTAGAATTCTCTCATATAAGTCAATCAAGAAGAGTCTTGGGTAAGTCACAAGCTTGGACACCACGTCTATCTCCAGCATGTTAGGCTGGGCTAAAGTGAACGGCTCCCACTTCACAAGACTGGGTCCCACTGAAGACGCTTTGGGGACGCTTGAAGGAGTAGGGTCGCCATATTTGATAAAGTTTGCCCACATTGTCTGAACTTGACGACCTACCGCCCTGTCGTCTGCTGTAGAGTAATTGTAGCGGGAATCCGGGTAAAAGACAAACCGCAGTTCAGCTGCGTGAGCAACGCCCCTCCAGGCGGGTGTGCTTGTACCACTTATTCTGTAGTAAAATTGATAAAGAAAATGTTTGGTTGCTACATCCGGAGCCTTTGTGTACTTGGTTATTTCTGTAAGACTACCGCCCCCAAAAACCCAATCTACAACCTCTTGAACGAGGATTGATCTCAGCACCAATGGGTCTGTCTCATTGCCTATGTAAGCATCGACTAGCTCCTGGACAAGGTCTTCAGTGTTGCTGAAGCTTTCTAACTCACCTTTAACAAAACTTTGAAACTCTTGTCTTGTTATACCATCGTCTTCGGGATCTTGGATAAATTCTGAAAAATCTCCAGAGTTGGTTCCATGTAGCGTGTCAACTTTGTTGTAATGTCCAGTTTTTAGCAAATTTAAGGGATAATCAGGCAAAAAGCCGAACTTTGATTCAACCCTGGGGACAGTACTTGCATCCATTGTGGCTAACCTCAGTGCATCAACATTAACTGCTTGCAGACATTGTAAGATTTCAGCAGATGTCGTTCTGTGGCAACCTACACGCGCTGCTGACCTAAACGTGGAATCTCTGGCTTTATCTCCAGATCCCATCCTTTCTACCGCGCTAAGAGACAATGAGGAACCGCTTTCCATGATGGCTCTTATAAAGAGTCCCTTTGTTAAGGGAGAAACTACAAGAAGGGACACGCTGAAAGCCCCTGCACTTTCCCCACCAATGGTCACTTGTGCAGGATCTCCACCAAATGCTGAAATGTGTTTCTGAACCCATTTTAGAGCCAGCACTTGGTCTAACAGCCCATAATTTCCAGGCATTACGTCATCTTCGGTGGTCAGGAAGCCCAGAGCTCCAAGTCTGTAGTTGATGGTCACGGCTACAACCCCTTGAGATGCAAAAGTATCGCCATCCCCATCCTGATAAGCTGAACCTATAAGAAAGGCTCCCCCGTGGATCCATACAAAAACCGGAAGTGAAGCATTCACATCCGGTGTGAAAACATTGAGATAGAGGCAGTCTTCTGATTTCACAGAGGTCAGGTCTTCGAACGTAAACTGAGGACATACTGCACTCTTGGAGACGGCATCTCTGATCCCCGTCCAGTCGAGGGCTGGCTTTGGTGGCTGAAATCTCAGATTACCTGAAATAAATCAAACATAATGGTATATCAAACATAATGGTATATCAAGCATAATGGTATATCAAACATAATGGCATATCAAATATAATGGTATATCAAAACATAATGGCATATCAAACATAATGGTATATCAAATATAAAGGTATATCAAACATAATTGTATATCAAACATAATGGTATATCAAACATAATAGCATATCAAGCATAAAGGTATATCAAACATAATGATATATCAAACATAATGGCATATCAAACATATTGGTATATCAAACCAAAAATCATGGTATCAATGGCACTTTAGTAATTACTTGTTTAACTACCGTTCCCGTTTACGTTTAACTCATTCATTATCCTGTTGTGCCATTATATTTCACAGAGGGCTCACAGTCTGTTCCAATCTATCTTGTGCAGTCCAGCACAGCAGCTTTCTCCAGTGTGTTCAGTGAATCGCTGTCTTATAACTCTTGATGCTGATAGTTGCTGAGACATTTCTCTTTCATTCCTTTGAATTCATCCCAGTTTATTGTTATCATTTTTCTCAGACATTTGTTTTGCAACTTTCACTTGCATCTGTTAGAGAGTTG